CAGATGTTTTACCTAAATATGAGAAATAAATATTAATATAAAGGAAAATGCTGTACAGTGATTAAGCAAATAGGGAATTTGTTCAACTGCTTCAATCATGTTGTTGAACTCTCTTAAGAAATAATGAAAATTAATTTGTGTGAACGTTACACTGGTATTCAGAAGTTCAGATGCAAGCATAAGAGACGCTGATAATCATCACTCACAAAAGTTAATAAGACAAACAACAGCAAAAGAACAAAGGATACTAGGAGTGTTAAAAATGAATTTTCTGACATTTTTGGCTTAAAAGGATCTGCCAGTTTAGTACCCTGTATTAACACTGATTGGCCATTTTTTCAGTAATCATACTAAACAGATGCATTGTATAGGTGTACAATTACTGACTGTAGCTCAAATGTTGCTTGACACCACAGGACCATCACTCGCTAGATATTAAATGTTTTAAAGAACCCATATGAAAATAATGGATTTTGAATTAATATGTAAACGCTGTCTAAGTTTCTGTATATTACGGAGCCCCGGAAGGGACGGAGGGTACAAAAAAATTTATATATTTGTATGCACGTTTTCTTTTATTCGTAATCACGATTTCTTAAATTGTTCCCTCGTTTTCTTTTAATCGTGCATGTTTTCTTTATTTTATGGGTGTTTTTTTTTTAATTATTGATCACGATTTTCTAATTCATTCTCTCTTTTTTTTTTAATCGTGATCATGTTTTATTTTTAAGTAAACATACGTTGTTTTTTTTTATTTGTGCGCAAAATCAATGTAGTAGATACACGTCGTGTTATTTGTCCTGTGCAGAAGTGACTAACAGCTCCCTGAGACTGTCTGACAGGTTTTGATGTGTTAGATTGATGAGATAATGGACAGAAATGCTCATCAGGTCTTATGAGGAAACTGCAGCTCCTCTTCACAGCAAATGGCCCTCAGATTTGTCAGTGCAGCTGCAGTTTGGTGGTGAAATGAAGGAAGACTACAACCACAATCTTCACTGAACTGCACTTTCTAATGATATTGTTTAACAGAGATGTAGACGCAGCGCAGCCGCTTAGCGCTGTTTCTGCTCCCGCGTCAAAATTGTGTGATGTTAGAGACCATCACACAATTACATTAAGAAATGATCAGCGTCAACATTTCAACAAACTCAAATTAAACACACAGAAACATTAATGTGGGATGAGGTCAAATGGCGAGAGAGTTTAACAGATCTATGGATTAGATGTAGATATATTAATGTGAGGATGTTTAAACGCTGATCATTTCGTCCTGCAATTGTGTGATGGTCTCTAACACCGCAGCTTCACGCGGGAGCAGAAACACTGTGGGCCGTTTGCTGTGAAGGAGAACTACACTTTCCTCATAACCTCCCAATCCAAACTCAGACCTGATGAGCATCTCTGTTCATAATCTCATCAATCTAACACATTAAAAGCCATCAGACAGTCTCAGGGAGCTGTTAGCGGCCTGTATCTACTACATGTACTTTGTTTGTGCACGAAAAAAACAAATAACGTGCGTTCAGTTAAAAATAAAACATGACCACGATTAAAGAAAGCGAGGGAACAATTTAAGAAATCGTGACCACGAATAAAAGAAAACGTGTAAGAACTGCAAAACGTTCTCTTGAATTAATTACTTTTTAACCTCCGTCCCCTCCGGGGCTCCATAATATATGGAAACTATGCTGCAAAAACAGCCAGTTTTGAATTCAGGTTCTGTGTCACAGGAACCAACCTATTAAGCCTACAGCAGTTTATCCCTGCTTATTCACACTGCAGTTCTAAAAAGTCTTTCACTTCTGAGTGATTTCTGAATAACAGAGATAACTGATCATATTTCAATCTTAGAGGCACACAAACAAAAGCCTGTTACTGTAGTCACTAAAACATGAGGTTTACGTGATTTAATTTCATGATATGTAATCAGGTAGGAAATACAGTGAAATATGGTGTATCAGTGAGTTTTTTTTCCACAGCTACAGTTTTAAGAGAGATTTTTTTTTCAGCATAGCTTTCCTACCAACTGTTTCATTTTACTTGTCATAGCAGTGACACTGACCTGTGCCAATGCAACAATTTTCTTTACATGGCCTAAGTCTACTACAAATTAAAACTTGTTTTGTGCTTTGTGGCAAACACATTGAGAGAAGCAGAATTAGCCTCTCTGTTACCTTTAACAGAAGGTATCTGAGGTGAATTCTTCTTCTCTGGCAGGGACATAAGCGCAGTGTCAAGTGGTGTTACTCGGGTTGCTTCTGGTGACTCCTCCTGCATTGCTTCCGGTGAAAGTTTCAACATTATCAGCATTACATTTAAATCCTAAAATATGTTTAACAGTAAGTGTAATCTCTGTGTTTATTTATAAAATGACTACAATTATCAAATCTTAGAGCTTTCAGCAATTATCTGAGTAAGGCAGGGGTGTTCAGCTCTGTCTTGGAGGGCTGATGTCTAGGACAGTTTGGTCATTTTTTTCTGCTCAAACACTCCTGATTGAACACATCTGTTAATTTCCATGTTTAGGATGTGTTTGAGTAGGGGGATTATCAAACTGTTCTGGACACCAGCTCTCCAGAACCAGAGCTGAACACCCTTGGGGCCAGTATTTCTGGAATGTTTTCATAGTTTGCATAATGACTGAACCTATTACATTTTATTCCTATTTATTACCTATACAAATCAAGTATATACTGCAATTAAGTTACATTTTTTGGAAAATCAAGAAAAACAATTATTCAACTAGTCTAATGAAATACCATGCCATTTTCCCCTGATGATGAAAATACCTCCAAGTTCTTCATATTTTTCATCCTCTTCCTCACTTCTTCTTTCATCATCATCATCAATTAGCTCCATCTCCTCTGCAAAAAGAACAATGTATTGACAAAAAGTAAATTAATAAGACTTGTAGATCACAACATTAAAACATCTGTACTGTTGTGTCATTGTGAATGAGTGAATAATTGACTGGATAATAAAAATAAAAAACACAAAGACTGTTATATACCATTTGGGTCAATACTGATCTCATCCAAATTCTTGCCCTTGAAGTCTCCAAGTCTCCCTTGTTCTAATGCCATAAGAACTTTGCTGACTTTTGCAAGTTGGAGGGTCTTTTCAGGAAGGCGATAGAACTCCCTATGAATTCTGATGTCATGTCCCAGGAAGTTTGCTAACTGATCCATGTCTGTGTCCTTCAAGTTTAGAACTGTAGAAAGAGTGGCAGCATGTTTTCGCAGTTTTGTGGATGTCAGTGCATCAGGACTATTTGCATTACAAGACTTTGCAAAGCTGCGGATACAATCTGAGCCTCTGTAATGTGACATTGCTGATGGCCGAGCAAAGAGATAAACATTGTCTTTCAGCACTCCACAAGTCTCCCTGTTCTTCACAAGCAACTCTACTGCATTCAGCATTTTAGGGGTCAGCAGAATAGGAACTGGACGTCCTCTTTTTCCTCTGATCACAATTCTGGAGAAGTGCCTGCAGAGTTTTTTCTCAACTTCGGAGAGGGCCCAATCTATGTCATCATGTGGATCACTGGTGTCCCTGGATAAGAAAGCGGATAGGAGCATACACGATACCTCTCCCTCTCTACGACGGTTAAAGAGCATGATCTGAGTCAAAGCGACCTTTGCAAGATCAGACCAGTATTTTGATGTGGGCTCTGCTGATAACTGCTTGATCAATTCATCCTGCATTTTATTGAGAAATGCATGAAGTTTTTGCACATCTTCTGTAAAAGGCAACACTGTGGGGGCATTCCACTTTGACTCCTCAAGATTTCGTGCTGCTGTTGCTGAGATCAGTTCACACCACCGTTCTTTATGTATTTCTTGGAAGTTACTGAGCTTCTGTGCCAAGCAGTGGTCTTTCGCAATCAAAGCTTGAGCTTTCACGAGTTTGCTGAGCTTCATCAGGCTTATTCCAAGTTTCTTTGCCAGAGAAGGAGTTTTGTATGTGTTGGCTTCACTATCATATCCACATGTATGTCTGACAGCTTGAACCATCTTCATGTAGTTTTGAGGATGTATAAAATCTTCCATTGTCTTCAGAGATGCAACTTTTCTGCCAGTGATCAGTAGTTTTCCTAGTTCTCGCAACTTCTGTCGTAAGCATGCCTCATTCTTTGCAGTTGATCCACCTTTGTTCAACAAATGTTCCCCCAGCTGAATGATGCAGCTATCATTTTTGACAGCAGCTGTGATTTCATCTGCATTCATGAGGCTTAAAGTCTTCCACAGTGCTTTGCTTATGTGTGAAGGTACAGGCTGTGTAAATGAACAGAGAGACTGGACACGGTTTTTCCCAGGTTTTGGAGTATAATCTTCAGGGCCTAGTTTACAGACCTTCACGTGTCGCCAAAGAACGTTCCTGGTGAATAACCCTTGGCAATATGCACAATGCATAAAATCAGTGCCTTGTGCTTTCTTTGGTGGTCGTTTGCATGGAACCAGTTCACCCTTGCCCGTTTTAATTACAGAAGCATTATGGACGAAGTTCCCTCTGTGACGTAAATTATCCAAATGCATTTTTCTCTGTTTAGAACCCTTTGGAAAACTGCATGCTATAGCCACTTCTTTTTCACTGGAATGGACATACTGCAGATGTCTTGCCATCTTGCTAAAAGGTTTCAAACAAAACAGACAGTAATGTTTCTTGTCATATGCTCTACGACCATCACATTTTCTTCTGACTGCATTGACTACTACTGCCCCTTCTTGTTGCACAAGCTCAGAATTGCTGCAGACTCCATCACTCTCTATTACTGGAGGACTTTTGCTGGGCCATTTATTTAGATCCATAACTTCAAGGTTGCTTCTCTCTGTAACACCCATGACACCTGAAGATGTGCTATGAGGGACAAGATTAGAGGGGATAGCTTCATCTGTGGAAGACAGACGGCTCTGTTTCACTGGTTTTAGGGAGGTACTACTCTCTGAACTACTTTCGTTCCTTTCATCTCTAGAGTTAGGGATGTACTCCTTTCCACTATCTGGAGTAGAATCAAACAGCTCATCTGAATCTTCAGGAACAAACCCTCTCATCTAAAAATCAATATGATAATTTAGTCATTTTTGAAATGCCAAGCCAGTAAGCATCAGAAATTACAAAACAAATTCATAAACCAAATCTATATGACAAGTATTTGTCCCCTGCATGATTTTCTGAATATTTACTTTTTCATGGACTGCTGAAACACAAATGACCACTGAATTGGGATTTCAACATTATATATACAAAGAAGAATTTTACAAGAATAAAAATGTATCATTCTGAAAAGGGCTGTGAATTTGTTTCTATGTTTTGTGCCATACTACCTGATGTACAAATTATGGAAGGTCTAGGATGTCTAGCAAAATAATCACTACATTCTGCAGAATGAACGTCATACCCATGTTCAATCTCAGTGATTCTAGTGTCAAATTAGGGGCATGACTTGGCATCACTGAAAGAGGCTTTGGCAAAAGGGAATTCAGTGGTGTATTTGAGAATTTCAAAGGAGGATATCAGCCCAACCAGTTCAGAAGTAAACCTGATGTTCAGTTTGATCAAACAGCAACAGAACAATTGAAAATATAAAATCAAGCCTACTGCAGTCTAAAGAAAATGAAAATTAGAGATATGGAATGGCCCTTAGTCAATACCCAGACATACATTCCATTGAGATACCATATTAAGACAACTAAAGGTCAAAACTCTTGCCTCTTTCTGTAAAGAGCATATACTCTCTTTTTTTCCACAGAGCAAAAAATTAGGTGAAATAAAAAAAAATAATAATAATAATAATAATAATAATAATTTGCCAACAACTACATTTGAATATTTTGCATTTTTTTCTCATCCTGTTTGGTGTGTAATGGCCTTAACACATGCTCACAGCACCACACTGCAGTGGCAGTAAGAGTTTGTTAAAGAATGGCTGTTCTGTGTCTATGGCCTGCAGCTGTTTTAACGTTTTGAAGTTCACAATAATGTTACTGTGCGTCTTTAATATACATTATACCGGCACATGCCCATAAATTCATTGAATTTTTAAGCTATGAATTAATATGCTAATGAAATTTATCTGCTTTGGAATGAATATGAAACACTTACTATAACACTTCTAGTCCTTCTTAATCTAGGTACATGCACATCCTCTTCATCAGTGTCTTCTAATGAAGAACTCTTCAACAAAAGAAGAAAAACATACAACATTGTTGAGGGAGTTGGAGAATTAAATCAATGTAAAAAAGAAGTCTGCTCACAATGTAGTTGCACAAATTTAATAACAGGCTGAACATAAAAATAATTCCATAAAGTATTAAATCTATCCACAATTTAACCAAGACTGGGAAGCTGTATTGATACGAGAGCCTATATTACATTGTAGCATTTTAAAGTCTTCTCAAAAATAAAAATTGTATGAAAGTTCATCCATATTCAATTGTTAGTGTGTTATACTGTGATTAGAAATTCCTTGTAATTCAAAAGGTCAATTTCAACTGAGCTCATGTCCTGGCCACAATTTCAGAAAGCTTTTAATCTTTAAACAAATGTACCTGCCCAGAACTGCTGTCGTTGCTGTGATCCTTCAGAGGCTCTGACTGACGAGACATAGGGGTGACCCAGGCAGTCTTCTCAGGATTGGAATTTCTCATCTGTATAGTTCAAATTTATTTTAAAGTTCAAATGGACATGACTACAAGAGACTTGAACATGAACAGGTAGAACAGGTAGCAAGGAGTCTTGACTGAGACAGTGGCTGAAGATTCTCTTTGACAAAACAGCAAAACTGTATCCTCTTCTGTCATCTGTAATATATTATATATTTTGGAAATAAAATGTGAGCTAATTATAAGAGATACTTTGCAAACCCCAGGGTACGCTCAAAATCCTATACAGTTTCAGTACTGAGTATATAATTTAGGCTGACAAGTATGAAAATGACCTTAATGTAAGCAAAATCTGTGTTGTGCCCTAAGAAGCACTTGTACAAAATTCAGAGTTGGCGATTTTCATGCCTAACAAACACTTGTGAATGACCGCAAGAGACTTACCTTATCACTTGCTGAGGAACAAGCAGACAGAGCGGGTCGAGACTGCAATGGCTGACAGTTCTCTTGAGCACTGCTCTCTGCAATTGTGTCCTTCCTAGTCCTCTGTAAATATATGATACAATTGTACAAATCACAAGAGTTGGTACACAAGTGAAGAGATGCTATGCAATTGAACAACCCCTTTAAGAATATTATCCTTTAGACAAGAATGAGAACAAGCAAAAGGCTTCAGCTCCAGACTTTAAACAGATTTTCAGAAAGTAGGTGGTCAATCTTGGCCTGTCATGATCACAGAATTTTAGCTGATGAGTATTTGTCATACAAATAATTGTGATTAATGATTTAATTGTTCACTGTATGCAAGCCAAAAGTAGCTGAATTAGCTGATTAACCATCTTGCTTGTTAGCTATGTTTTCTTAGTAGCTAAACGATAAACTACTGTTGTGTACACATACACATACTCACAACTGTCTACAGATTAATAAGTTAAGAACAGAATTATGAGTAGAGTTTTTCCACAAAAGGACAAAATATGAGCAAAAAAACCCACTAATTTTGCCAGCACACATGCTAAAAACAGAACTAGCTACATAGTTAACAAAAACAAACATTACTGACTCTAAGTCATAACTTTGTTTTCATAAGCCTCATAATTTCATGAAGAGCATTTATTTCCTCACCACAATGTACCCAGTTCAAATTCTGCTTGTTGCAGCATAATGACTGTGAAATCTAACAAGTTATATAATTGTAATCATGTCTAATAAATTCAATTAAGTGATTATGTAATAACTGTGACAAGCTTATGTCAATCAGGTACATCAATAGTTCAATTAAATTACAGTGAATACAAAAACTACAAAAAAAAATGAATTCAAGGTCAAACATACTTTGTAAGGACACAACACATTTTGTGACCGTGTGACTGTCACTGCTCAAGATATACTTTTCCCCTTTGATTTTCTATCTCATTCACACTCATTTGACCAAAAACCTGCATCGTGGGGACTCCGTGAGGTCGTCAAATACTAAGCAACACTTGTGAATGACCGAAAGAGGCTTACCTGATCACTTGCTGAGGAACAAGTAGATAGAACAGGTTCTGACAGGGATGGGGGCTGTCTCTCTTTGGTGTTACTCTTGGAAATTGTGTCCTGCCTAACCTGTTCAAATATGGTACATTGGCAAATTAATTAAGCAATTCAAAGTGGGATTTCCTATATACGTGACACTTCTATTATATTAGACCAAAGATAATGCAGAAGACAACCGTTACAACTTTTCAAAACTCTAACATGCCCTGAGATATGCAAATGTAGTGTTTCCTCACTGCTTACAACCCTCAGTCAAAGTGCTTACACACACAAAGGCCTAAACATTCTTTGTGAGGACGCTTAACACATTTTGTGACCATGTGACTTGTGGGGACACTGTCCTAGCTGAGAGTATTTTCCCAGCATCTATCTCATTCACACTCATTTGACCAAAACCTGCATCGTGGGGACTCCGTGAGGTCATCAAATACAACAAACATAACAGACAAGATATAATGTTTTGGAACTTCAAACCTTGATCAAAATATACTTTTCCACTTTAATTTTCTAATTCTATATATTGCAAAACTACAAAATTCAAAGTTGGCTATTTTCAGATCTAAGGAACACTTGTGAATGACCGAAAGAGGCTTACCTGATCACTTGCTGAGGAACAAGTAGATAGAACAGGTTCTGTCAGGGATGGTGGCAGTCTCTCTTTGGTGTTACTCTTGGAAACTGTGTCCTCCCTAACCTGTTCAAATATGGTACATTGGCAAATTAACTAACAATTCAAAGAGGGATTTCCTATACACATAACACTTTTTTCATATTGGAAGAAACAAAGCAGAAGACTTGTTACAACTTTTCAAAACTCTAACATGCCCTGAGATATGCAAATGTAGTGTTTCCTCACTGCATACAACCCTCAAAGTGCTTACACACACAAAGGCCTAAACATTCTTTGTGAGGACACTTAACACATTTTGTGACCATGTGACTTGTGGGGACACTGTCCTAGCTGAGAGTATTTTCCCAGCATCTATCTCATTCACACTCATTTGACCAAAACCTGCATCGTGGGGACTCCGTGAGGTCATCAAATACAACAAACATAACAGACAAGATATAATGTTTTGGAACTTCAAACCTTGCTCAAAACATACTTTTCCACTTTAATTCTCTAATTCTATATTATTGTAAAGCTACAAAATCCAAAGTTGGCTATTTTCAGATCTAAGGAACACTTGTTAATGACCGAAAGAGGCTTACCTGATCACTTGCTGAGGAACAAGTAGATAGAACAGGTTCTGACAGGGATGGTGGCTGTCTCTCTTTGGTGTTACTCTTGGAAACTGTGTCCTCCCTAACCTGTTCAAATATGGTACATTGGCAAATTAACTAACAATTCAAAGAGGAATTTCCTATACACATAACACTTCAATTATATTAGACCAAAGATAAAGCAGAAGACATCCGTTACAACAGTAAAAAAAGTGATTAAGCGAAACTTCTCACAACTCTAACATGCCCTGAGATATGTAAATGTAGTGTTTTTTCACTGCTTACAACCCTCAGTCAAAGTGCTTCAAGGTCTACACATCAATGTCTAAACATTCTTTGTGAGGACCCTTAACACATTTTGTGACCATGTGACTTGTGGGGATACCGTTCTAACTGGGAGCAGAATCTATATTATTCACACTCATTTGACCAAAATCTGCATCGCGGGGACTCCGTGAGGTCATAAAATACAACAAACATAACAGACAAGATATAATGTTTTGGAACTTCAAACCTTGATCAAAATATACTTTTCCACTTTAATTTTCTAATTCTATATATTGTAAAGCTACAAAATCCAAAGTTGGCTATTTTCAGATCCAAGGAACACTTGTGAATGACTGAAAGAGGCTTACCTGATCACTTGCTGAGGAACAAGTAGATAGAACAGGTTCTGTCAGGGATGGTGGCAGTCTCTCTTTGGTGTTACTCTTGGAAACTGTGTCCTGCCTAACCTGTTCAAATATGGTACATTGGCAAATTAACTAACAATTCAAAGAGGGATTTCCTATACACATAACACTTTTTTTCATATTGGAAGAAACAAAGCAGAAGACATGTTACAACTTTTCAAAACTCTAACATGCCCTGAGATATGCAAATGTAGTGTTTCCTCACTGCTTACAACCCTCAGTCAAAGTGCCTACACACACAAAGGCCTAAACATTCTTTGTGAGGACACTTAACACATTTTGTGACCATGTGACTTGTGGGGACACTGTCCTAGCTGAGAGTATTTTCCCAGCATCTATCTCATTCACACTCATTTGACCAAAACCTGCATCGTGGGGACTCCGTGAGGTCATCAAATACAACAAACATAACAGACAAGATATAATGTTTTGGAACTTCAAACCTTGCTCAAAATATACTTTTCCACTTTAATTCTCTAATTCTATATATTGTAAAGCTACAAAATCCAAAGTTGGCTATTTTCAGATCTAAGGAACACTTGTTAATGACCGAAAGAGGCTTACCTGATCACTTGCTGAGGAACAAGTAGATAGAACAGGTTCTGACAGGGATGGTGGCTGTCTCTCTTTGGTGTTACTCTTGGAAACTGTGTCCTCCCTAACCTGTTCAAATATGGTACATTGGCAAATTAACTAACAATTCAAAGAGGGATTTCCTATACACATAACACTTCTATTATATTAGACCAAAGATAAAGCAGAAGACATCCGTTACAACAGTAAAAAAAGTGATTAAGCGAAACTTCTCACAACTCTAACATGCCCTGAGATATGTAAATGTAGTGTTTCTTCACTGCTTACAACCCTCAGTCAAAGTGCTTCAAGGTCTACACATCAATGTCTAAACATTCTTTGTGAGGACCCTTAACACATTTTGTGACCATGTGACTTGTGGGGATACCGTTCTAACTGGGAGCAGAATCTATATTATTCACACTCATTTGACCAAAATCTGCATTGAGGTCATCAAACACAGCAAACATAACAGACAAGATATAATGTTTGGAAATTCAACCTTGCTCATGTTCCACTTTGATTTTCTCATACCTTAGAAACACTTGTAAATGACTGCAAGAAACTGACCTGATCACTTGCTGAGGAACATAGAACAGATAGAACAGGTTCCGACAGGGATGGTGGCTGACTCTCTTTGGCGTTACTCTTGGAAACTGTGTCGTCCCTAACCTGTAAAAAATACAGTACATTAGCCAAATTAATTACAAACTTAATTTAAGTATCCATAGCACCCATGTTATTTTATTTCAAACATGAAGTAGATCACATCTGTTAGAAAAAGGGAAAAATGATTTAGCCAACCTTCTCATTCAGGAACATTTGATCAAAATCTTATGGTTTTTACTTGACAACAGAAATCAAGCAAATGTATACATAATATCCATTAAACAATACTTACATATTATAGCGCCCTTTTCTAGCATAAAATTATAGTTTATAATAGGGGTGCGGGAAAAAAACGATTCTTAGATGCATCGCGATGCAGAAGTGGACGATTCTGAATCGATTCATAAATGTCAAAAATCGATTTTCTAAATATTTTATTTATAACGTAATGTTGATGGAACCCAAAGGGCTGAACTTGGAAGTGGGTAAGTGCAGCGCCTGGACAGTCTGTGGCGGCACATAACAAAAACACACATGGATGAGCGAGAAATCCGACCGGCAGCGTCTGCATTAAAAGCCAGGTTAGATCAGGAGTCACAACCCAAATGTTAAGAAGAGCCATTTTGTCCTTTCAACAAAAAGCAAACCACCTTGGGAGCCACAACATTTAATGTTCAGTATGTGATAATGTCCTAGTTTAGGCTAAACAATATAAACGAAAACGCGGACTTACTCTACTCTGCTTTAAGCTTCAGCTTTTCGCCGCTTTTCTTCCAACTCCACCAGAAAACTTTTCCTCAAAAGTTTAGTTTCTTGTAAAATGTCTCTCAGCTTTCGGCTGTTTTACGAGGCTGAAGTCGCTTTTCACTCACCGGCTTCTTGCTGAACTTTCCCGTTCCAACTTAAACAAACATGAGACCAAAACCGAAGTTATAAAACACTGAATTAAATGGGTAGGACGGCTGTAACGCGCTGCGTGGTCATCCATTACCACTAGATCTTATTACACCGTAACAGCGCATTTTATCGTAGGTGAGTGGCAGCAGCGTCTCCAAACAAGAGCAGTTAATCAGAGCCTTCTAGTTCACTTGCCACATCACTTCCATTTGTTTTATTAACAGAAGATATTAAGTAAATTCATTATGGATCATTACAAATAATTTGCTTTAAAACTACCAAGTCCTCAGACAGTAAGAAAATAGAAATCACATGTAGAAAAAAAAGATGCATCGATAATCGTTTTATAATTGCATCGCAGCCCTCTGAATCGTAATCAAATCGAATTGTGAGGTTCCCAGAGATTCCTAAAAAAAAAAAAAACTTATATACCTTCTTTCGCCATGGCCAGTCATTTCCTCCATAATCATAGGTGATTTCATCTCCCTGTTTTATGTCTTCTATGGCAAACAGGCAGAGATGTGGCCTTCCATCTACTTCAATCATCTTCATTCTGCAATTTGGGTGCTTGTGGTCATCGTTAACCAACCTCCCAAATGATCCATCTTCTTTGGCAGAATCAATACTTTACAAAAGAGACAGAAAGAGGAAAAAGATAACTGAAGGGATAACAAGTATATGTCTGTTCCTGTCTGACATACAGGAAGTGAGATCACAGTTTTGTGAGAGTTCAGCAACATATAAACAAAGTCATATTCCAAAAAGACCATTAAGTAATTATTGACCACTCAGACTACATGTGCGAATATCGATTACAGGGAACCTATTATGCTTATTTTCAATGTTCATAATTTTATTTTTGTGGTCTGCTCGAATATTTTTACAGCTTTAAATGTTCCAAAAACACATTTTTCTCATACTGTACATCTCTGTTTGCCCTCTGCCTGAAACGCTCTGTTTGAGCTCCTGTGTCTTTAAGCCCTGCCTCCCAATGAGCCCAGTGAGCTCTGATTGGTCAGCTCGCTCACTATATTGAACAACCACCAGAGTGGTTGAAAGCCTTCAGTAGCCGCTGTGCGCTGTGTGAGGGCATGCTGAGCTCACCGGTAGGCGGGCAGTAAGGACTGTGTTATGAGATTGTAACAAAGGAAAAGGCCTGGAATTCCAATGATGCATTTCAGGCAGCTGAGAAAAGTGGGTTCTGTGGGAGAGAGTTTCTCCCTCTGGAGTGAACTGTGAGCTTTGTAACCTTGCAGAATGCTTACATGCACAAAAAGCTACATAATAAACTAAAGAAAAAAGAAAAAACAGAACAGAATAATACACCCCCTTTTAAGTCAAATTTCAGGAAAAACCTTTCTATTTCATTCCATCAGGACAGATCCTTTCACTTGTACAATGTGAACTTAGTTTTAACTATTCATAAATATAGTCACTTACCACCACATTTTCCCCTTCCATTTGAAGTCAAACATGAACACAGTACAAAGACGGTGGTAGATTTTTCTTCTTCGTTGAGCTTCACTAAAATCAATCCTATCCCCCCTGTACTCAACCACAAAATCACTCTTGGAAAATTGAGCTAAGGAGAAGACACCACGTCCTGCAAAAAAATGATAAAGAATCACATTACCAAATTGCTACAACAACTAAATAGCGCTATTAATCTGAGTGATTAAATACTGAAACAGTGAGTAATACAATTACAACCCCATTTCCAAAAAAGTTGGAATGCAGTGCAAAATGTAAATAAAAACAAAATGCAACGATGTGCAAACCATTTAAACCCTATATTGCTTTGAAAATAGTACGAATATAACAAATCAAATATTGAAATTTTATAGATTTTTTAAAAATATATGACCATATCAAATTTGATGCCAACAACACTTTCCAAGAAAACTGAAATGGACTGAGGGGAAGTGGAAAAGTGTCCTGTAGTCTGACAAGTCAACATTTGAAATTGTTTTTTGGAAATCAAGAAGACCTGGCTTATTGTCAATGCACAGTTCAAAAGCAAGTATTCATGATGGTAAAGGGGGCATTAGTGCACATGGTTTGATGTGCACATCTGTGAAGGCACCATTAATGCTGAACGATACGTTTTGGCAACATATGCTGCCATTCAGACGGCGTCTTTTTCAGGGAAGGCCTTGATTATTTCAGCTGGACAGTGCCAAACCACATTCTGCATGTATTACAACAGCATGGCTCCATATGAAAAGAGTCTGGGTGCTAAATTGGCCTGCCTGCAGTCCAGACCTGTCACCACTGAGAACATTTGCCACATTATGAAATGAAAAAATATGACAAAGGAGACCCTGAACTGATGAGCAGCTGAAATCCTGTATCAAACAAGAACAGGAAAACATTTCACTTTCAAAACTACAGCAGCGTCTCCTCAGTTCCCAAACGCTTACAGAGTGTTGTTAAAGAAGAGGTAATGAAGCACAGTGGTAAACAGGCCCCCGTCCCAACTTTTTTGGAACGTATTGTTAGCATCAAATTCAAAATGCGCATATATTTTTCAAAAAACAAAATTTCTTAGTTTCAACATTTGATTTGTTGTCTTTGTACTATTTTCAATGAAATACAGGATTTAAATGATTTGCACATCATTGCATTTTGTTTTTATTTACATTTTGCACAGCGTCCCAATTTTTTTGTAAATGGGGTTATAGTTAACACAGAGTATCCCAGATGTATCTAAATGAGTAATGTTAATTTTGCAATTCAGTCACATTTAACAGAATTGTTTCTTAACAAATATACATGAAAAGGCTTCAATGTATAGACAAAATATAAACTGTTACTTTTATTATTGTCACTCATTAGTGGGATAGTATTAGAAATGTTAAATT